CCCCCACACACACACAAACACACACACACACGCAGTATGCTTGCACTCACATACAGGCTCACATTCATATGCACAATAAAATTGTGAACAGTAATAATACAAAGAATTATAATGTAATGTTTTAACCCATAATTTTATATTTTGCCGTTAAGTTGGAAATTTTCTGGAAAGTAATTGATTTGCAACAGTTTCAGTGGCTATATGTGTGATCTGCAGCAAATAATACGCAGTTTGACCCCCCAAATCAGTGCATCTTTGAGGGGAAGTGTGTCTCCGAATACTTCCAGGGTGCTCGCCGGAGACGTTTCCGAATATCTTCTGCCCCGTCTAATACAATTTCGGCACCATAAAAAAAGGTTGTCTCTCTTATACCGGTGCCCATTACGGATGGGATCTGGTCGGATCGGGTCGGGTCGGGTGGGGTCGATCGCCCCACTCGTTTCCTGAAAGTCGGGTGCGATGGGTTTGTGCCACGATAGCCGCTTTGCCCCCTCAATCTGGCTAACAAACCGACCCGACCCGACTCGATCCCTCAATAGGCACCCCGTATTACTGGAACATGCTCTGGTGTGGTTTGCTCCTTCTTCCAAAATCTAACATCTATCTTTTTTATCTCTCCTCCTTCTGGGATAATAAAGTATTATATATCTCTTATTTTATCTTATCTTTGTACGTCACAACTCTCCAGTCAAAAGGCCTGCAGTGACAAAAAGATCCAACTATTTATATGGGTTTACAATTCAATACCTACTTAACTTAAATCTCATCTTCGGCATCTTCTTTTTATGACCTATCTGTGTTGCAAGTGCCGTATGTAAAACTCTTACGAAAACTCACAGGGAGTTGGCGGCTGATTGGTGTAGACAGGGGGAGAGGTCACGGGTTGGTAGGGGGGCCTGTTGGTCACCACAGGGGGGAACGTCCTTGGGGGCAAGGTCACGGGGGCGGAGGTCACAGGGGCAGAGGTCACCACAGGGCCCACGACAGGTCCGGGCCCAGCTCTGGATGAGATAAGATAGATAAGATATGATGAGATACGATAAGATAAGACGTGATAAGATAAGATAAAATATGATAAATGAAGTAAGATACAACAGGATATCATTTTATGGTACATGTGGGAATTTTCCTCAGCTTCAAAGGAATTCTAAAAACATATAACATACACTATAATATTGTATATTACTTTTTTTTAAAAATCAATATGAAGACAAAAAATTAGAGCTGACAAATAACGCAACGTGTCACATTACAAACAACATGCATTTTGAATTGGGTTGTGGATGGTTGGCAGGTGCTCTGGTATGGTTTGCCTTCTCTTTCTTTTCAACCAAACGTGTCTCATCCTTATTTCTTCTCCTAACTTGCTTAACGAGGGGCATACCAAAAGTGTTTTTTTTACCTGACCTTGAAGGAATAAAGGTAGAAAGCTGAAATTTGGTACTGAGCTTAGTCTTTCTTCATGTAGTCGCCATCCAGAGTTCTACACGTTTGCCATCTGTGTATGACCTTGAGAAGACCTTGAGAATAAAGGACCCCTCTATGTCAGAAAACCAGCCCTCTACCGCTTCTTTGACCTCATCCTCATTTTTTTTACACCAAAATTTTATCACAGCATAGGATGGGCAGTCTGCTCCATATACGGCATGCATCTCCGTAAAAATATCCTGTAGTTGCTTGCCTTACAAAAACAAATACTTCACAACTGCACTGCGCTCAATGTTCTTCATTTTTTATGTTGAAACTGGAGAACAACATACCCCCATTCACTTACGGTGTGCTGGTGGTAAAACCAGTAATCTGAAATTCCCCAAAATTTGCAAGCATTCTAGGAAGATAATTGTTGGCCTTCACACCAAATTTTAGCTTTCTACCAAGGACTTCTACCGTTATTTCTTCATGGTCAGGTAAAAAACTTTTGGTATGCCGTCGGTGGCATCGGTGGCTTAGTGGTTAGGCTCTCGGACTCGCAACCGTTAGGTCGTGGGTTCGAATCCCGTCAGGGGCCCGACGTTGTGTCCTTGGGAAAGGCACTTTGCACAAATTTTCCTCACTTCACCCAGGTGGAAATGTGTTCCCGGCTATAGATAGTGAACGATCTGGTCAGTTTGATAGTGTTTGAGCGTGTGAAATCCGCAGCTTGCACTGTATGCTTCCGCGGAAGCCGAGTATGTTTCTGAGTGTTCTCAGAGGGTCTGCTGGGGTAGTAATGGTTGTAAAGCGCATAGAGCTTGCTCTTGAGAATGGATATGCGCTATATAAATGCAATAATTATTATTATTATTATGCCCCTCAAATATATGCTACTCTCCAGTAACACCTCTAACATTCGGCACGGTGACCTATTTGTGTAGCAAGTATAAAGGGTATAATGTGGCGTCGGTAGTCTAGTGGTTGTCTAAGGTCGTAGGTTTGAATCCCGTCAGAGACCAGACGTTTTATCCTTTCGAAGGGCATTTTACAATATTTACAAAAACATTAAATGTTCCTCACTTCACCCAAGTGGGAATAGATACCTGGCTATAGACAGTGAATGGGCTTGTTAGTTTCTTGGAAAATCACTCCAAATATTCAACTTATTGATTTAAAAACAGAAACGACTTGTTTGAATACTCAAACTCAATCGAAACTGACTTGCGGCACTTATATGACCTTATTATGTTGCAAGTGCCGTAAAACTCTTGCTAAGACAGACAAACAAACAAACAAACAAACAAACTGACTTGGGGCAGTTCTCGAAAGTCCCGGACCGGAATTCGTTGTTGGCGGCGTTGATGAGCGGGTACTTGCCCTGGTTGCAGGAAGTGCCTTTGAAGTCGTCCAGGTCGAGCGCCCAGTACATGACACCTCCGAAGCCTTGTTGTTTCGCATAACACGCCTGGGGATTGGGGGCGGAGGGTGAGGGGAGGGGTGAGGGGGAAGG